TTTATTTATTTATATCTATATATATAGAGAGAGAGAGAGACCGCGAGTTGCTTTGCAGGTAACAGGGCATCTTGTCTGCTACGGGCTCCACGCGTGCCAAGGAGCACTCTGGAGAGCCTGCATCTGCTCGGTGCGCTTCCTGGGATGGAGTTGCTGGAATGGGGATTGGGGTTTAGGGTTTAGGGTTCAGGGTTTAGGGTTTAGGGATTAGGGTTTAGGGTTTAGGGTTTAGGGCTCAGGGCTTGCATGTCTGGGGCTTAGGGGGTGCAGGGATTTAGGTTTAGGGTTTAGGATTACATCGTGACGTGATTGCAAAAACTGTGCTTGTAAGTGTCTTACTCTGGTCGCCTTCGCTTGAAACGGCTACTTTTCCTTCGACTCAGGGGCAGCTGGCCGTAGGGTTTGGCGTTGAATGCGTGCGTGGTCCAGCAGTTGGGAACCTAACCCCATACACTAAACCCTAAACTCGAAATCTAAACCTACACCCTGAACTCGGAACCTAATAAGCCCCTAAACCCTAAACTTGGAACCTAAGCCTACGCTCTAAACCCTGTGTTGAGGAGTCCTGCAGCGCTGTTGTCGGTGGTGGTGCGCAGTTCAGGGTGTGAGGTTTGGGGAGCTCGTGCAGCTTGTTTTTGCTTTTTTTACTTGGTGTTTTCTAAAGGCCTTATAATTTCTAAAGGCCTCATGATATAATGTAAACTTGACAGAGCCCTTGTCTTCAACCCTACTCAATGCTGGGAAAGTCTGCCCATCCATGCTCGAGAACCTCTTTCATTTTCAAGAAAACCCTTATGGAATCCTGGATGCTAAACCTTCAACCCTGAAGCTCTAAGCCATAAACCCAATGCCCCTATGTCACCACAAGCACGCCGAAAAGAACTTTTAATGCCAGCCTTTCGTAGTACTTTAGGAACCTTGAACATTCATATTTAAGTTGTGGGATATGCTATAGTGTGAATATTAGTGGGGGAACCATAAAGCTTGGCATTATTGATGACCGCTTTATGGTCTAGGGTTTAGGGTCTAGGGTTTTAGGTATCAGGGTTAAGGGTCTAGGGTTTGGGGTTCAGGACCACGATGTTTGGGTTGTTACGAGACATGGGTCCCGTGAGGACGTCGTGCTGACTTCTGCAAACAAGCAGCAGAACCCTAAACCCTAAACCCTAAACCCTAAACCCTAAACCCTAAACCCTATAAACCCTAAACCCTACATCCCCTAAACCCTATAAACCCTACACCTAAACCCTAAACCCTGGACCCTAAACCCTACGGCCTGGACAAGTGGCATATGGGCCTTCAAAGAGGCGATCTCCTTGTCTGCACTCGCACGCTCAATAGCCTCAGCTGAGTTAGATTCGGGATTCGGGTTTAGGGTTCAGGGTTTAGGGTTTAGGGTGTAGGGGTCTAGGGTGTAGGGGTTTAGGGCTTAGGGCTTAGAGCTCAGGGTTTAGGGTTTAGAGTCTAGCGTTTATAGGGATTACCTTAAGCCTCACAAAACCTACCTTTTCAAGCGCTCCTTCTCACGACTTCCTTGTTTGAGTCATTCATCGAAGCGAGGATGGCGGCAAGGTCCCAATTGGATCCGCATCTGGATGTTTAGGAACCAAGAGCCATTCAGAGTATAGTGACCCTAAACCCTAAACCCCTAAACCCCTAAACCCCTAAACCCCTAAACCCTAAACCCTAAACCCTAAACCGCTACCCCGTTGAGGCTCTGAGGACTTACATGTTTTCGGCTTTTGGGCCCCAAGACTATACCATGTAAGGCTTTTTGGCTCTTTTGAGCCTTAGGGTAAAGGGCCCAGGTACCCTGATAGTATATACTTTCGCCTTCCAAAGGGAGCTACACTTGGAGGCCAGTAGGGTATGCTATTTGGTACCTAAAGCCCTTCTATCTGGGTACTTGGGCTACGGGGTATAGGGGGATGCTCGAGCCCTGTATTGGTTTTGTTGCGGGGTTCAGGGTTTAGGGTAAATCAACGAAACAAGCGAAAAAGATCTGATGTAGCCAGGAAGGAGCCGTGTTCACGAAGACACCGGTCACGACGTTGAGAATGGTAAACACGCTAAGCGTGATATACACGAGCATCGTTGCGACGGCGAGCATAGACACATCCTCCAACGGGTTCATGGCCTCATCTGCAGAACAGCACCCCTAAACCCTAAACCCTAAACCCCTAAACCCTAAACCCACGAACACCACCGTTTAAAGCCGGTTGGGGTTTGCGATTTAGGACAACTACAAGTCCCCAACATGAGCACAGCGTAACACGAAACCTACCTAAAAAGGGGAGCACTAGGATGTATAGTGTTTTAGGGTTTGGGTTTTCTAGGGTTTATAGGGTGTTATAGGGCACTCGTGCCTGACCTCAACCGTCCAGATATACCGGAAACAACACTTGCAGCTTACTACGTTCGGGGTTCAAAAAATCAATCAGCATTGCTGTAACAGCGTACTTCCATATCAAGGGCCCATGTACAGATGCAACACAGAACGCATAGTCCCTGAAGTACCTTTAGTCTAAGGTAGAACCCATGG